AGCTCCCGCCGCGCCCGCCGCTGGCCCCCGTGATGCCGACCTACTGCTCTTCGCCACGCCACAGGCGCCCCGGCCCACACCCAGCGCTCCGCGCCCTGCGCTCGGCCGCCCACCGGTACGGACCCCAGGGACAGCGAGCCAAACGCCCTGCCTGTACCCCCCGCGTAGACCCGGGCGGGGCGCGGTGTTTGGCCCCGAGGCTGCGGGGGCCAGGAGAGGGGTGGACTGAGGCGCCCGCGCTGGGCGGTGCAGAGCCTGGGTTGGGCCTCCGGGCCCCGCCCCGGGCTGCTGGGTGACCTCGGGCCAGTCCTTGTATGCTGCTCTAGGCTCTGGGCCTCCGCTTCCTCAGTATAGTCACTCGGGTCAGCCACTGGGTCAGAATCAGTGATAATAATGGCCCACGTGGATTCAGCTGGAGCTTTGGCTGAGCCCTTGGCCGACTTCAAGTCAGCCAAAACTCACAACCACGCTGTGAGCTCGGTGTTGTCACTGTGCCCATCTGACGGAGAAAGAACTGAGGCCCAGAGAGGGGAAGGGACTTGCCCCTGGTCATAGGTGGGGCTGGGGTTTGAACCGAAGCCTGCTGGCTCCAGGCCAGAATTTGTGGCTACATAGGGTTGGGGGTGGAGGTGGAGGTGGAGGTGGAGGTGGTCCTGGGGCTGGACTGTTAAGAAGCCATTGAGGAGACCCTCTTTCCTGCCTAAATGCTCCACTGCCAGGTGCAGGCCTGGCCCTTCAGGCCCCTGGGGACAGGCCGCCTGGCTGGGAGGCCTTCTCTGCAGGGGTGGGGCAAGACGCCTGGGCCAGCTGCTGATCCCCTCCCTCTGCCTGTCCTTCCATCTGCCACCCTCCACCCTCTCAGGCCCTGGTTGCCATAGAACCTCATTAATCAGGCAGGCCCTGGTGGAAGGACTGAGTAGGCTGGGCCTCTGGGAGTTGGAGGGGAGACCCCCAGTGCCAGGGGAGAGAAAACCTCTCAAGGAGATAATCTGATAAAGGCCTTGCTGAGCAACAAGAGGTTCAGACTGGGGGCCCAGAGAAGGTGTCTGAGTTACAGTGGGAGAAGAGAGTGGAAGCCTGGAGCTTGAACCTATGGGCCTCAGGACAGGGTGTGGAGACCAGTTTGACTGGCGCAGCCTGTGGGTGAAGGTGGGGTGCAGGCAGGCAGGAGCTGGCCAGGAGGGCTGGGGTCTCGGCAAGGGGCTTAGAGCAAGCAGGAGGGGTGAGGCAGGGCCTGGGGCAAGGAGGTGGAAGCTGCCCAACTGCCACTGGGGGCGTGGGTGGCAGCTGGTCCCTGAGGAATCCCGGGAAGCCTCCCCCAGCCCCGTTGGCCCCATGCCTAGTGCTGCTTTCCTTCCGGAATCACCAAGATGCTAATAATAATAACAATAGCAGCCACCAGTGTTCTGAGAATATTTTGTGTGCAGGGCTCTGTGCCAAGCCCTTTACCCAAATTAACCCATTTAACCCTCTCGACAGCCTTCCCCTTTTACAGATGGGGAAATTGAGGCACAGAGATGTGACAGCCTTCCCCAGAGAGGATCAGCTAGTGAGTGGTGGGATGATGAACTCAGCAGTTCAAGCTGGGATGCCTTGGGAATGCTAATAGAGGTTGAATGAAGTTCAGGGAGGTAGTAGGCACCCTTCCGCCTGATGAGTGAGTGGGAAGGGTGATTTTGGGCCAGGGTGGGTCAGCCTTGCTTGCCTCCTACCCTCCAATGAAAGGGCCTGTCCGTCAGGGTGCCAGCTTGAGGCTTAGGCAAGTAGTCTCCAATTAGCTGACTGATAAGCACTTAGCAGGCTCAGGGGTACAGAGACGGAGCAGAGGCTGGGGGCTCCAGGCCCAGATGAACTGTTAGGGACTAGGGAGAATGACCCCCCTACCACCACCATCAGGGGCAGCCTCGAGCCCTGAGCATTCCAGTCATTCAACAGCTGGTGAGTTGGTGAGGGCCCATGAGATGCTAGGTTCAGAAGCAAGTAAGGAGCCCCTGCCCCACAGTGCTTGTGGCCCATTGGGCATTTTTGTGCTGGGTGCAGGGCTGGCACCATCCTGGACCTAAGTCGGAAAACAGGCCCAGCTGTTGCCCTCCAACATCCCCAACTCTTACACCTGTGAGTAGCCACTGGGCACATGATCTGTGGCCCCATCTACCCTCTGCACTGGCATTTGTTTGGGGGCAGTCCTGGATCAAGCTACAGGCTCAGCTTCTGCACCAATGAGCATTTATTTTGTACCTACTGCATACAAGGGTCTGCGCAATTCAGCCATTCCTCCTGGCCCTTCCTATCCACCCCAACCCTGTTGTGGCCTTTTTTTTTCTTTTTAAGTTTTTCTGTTATAAATAAATGCTTACTACAGAAAACTTGGAGTTAAGAGAAAAGAAAGCTGAAGGGGGCAGCATCCTAGCCCCATACACACAAAATATATATTTTTTCCTTTTCTTTCCCTAAGCCTGTTTTTACTTTTTATGTAGTTAATAGAGCTAGCTTTCACTTCCTAAAACTTTTTAAAATTTCATTTTTTCCCTTTATTTCCTTGTTCAAGCATCACATCATTTACACCATACAAATAAGGCCACCATCCCCTCAGTCCCCCATGCAGAGGTGAAATAATAGTTGAAACTGGACCAGAGAGAAACAGTTTTGTGATTTTTTTTAATCCACAAAGGATTATATAAATGTATGACCCTATGGCAATGTTTTTGCTTGCCAGTATGTCTGAGAGGATTCTGGGTTGATCCGCCTTGGTCCTTTGTGACAGCTGTGTGGTATTCCAGGGGCTGGTAAACCATGATTTTTGTGGCCCTCTCCTGTGGTGGGGTTTTTCATGTGTATGTCTTCACCCTGCTCTCAGGCCCCTGTGCCAGGTTTCTCTAGAGAGTGGCGGTCAGACATCTGCTTGTGCTCTCGTTTTTGGGTGTTGCATTGACCTGCCTTCAGAGTGGGCAAGGGCCTGGGTACCAGGCAGAAGGCGAGGAGAGCAGTTGGCAGGAGCATGCTAGGGTTCATGCTGAGAAGGGATAGACTTTGGTTGGCTCATAAGGGGCCCAGCATCTGAACAGGTCTCTGGGGAAGCAGGACATGGGTAAGAGTGTGGTTACAAGTGTGGGCTCTGAGTCATCCTGTCAGGGTTTGAATCCTGCCCTCACCTCTCACTGGCTGCGTCTCCTTTCTGAGGTGCAGGTTCCTCTGGAAGTGGAGGTTACCATAACTAGCTGCCATCAAGTTGATTCCAACTCATGATGACCCCACATGTGTCAGAGTAGAACTGTGCTCCCTAGGGTTTTCACTCACTGATTTTTCAGAAGTAGATTGCCAGGACTTTCTTCCAAGGCACCTCTGGGTAGACTTAAACTGCCGACCTTTCAGTTAGTAGCCCAGCGCATTAACCGTTTGTACTACCCAGGGACTCCAGAGGTTGCCACAGCACCTCCCATGAGGTGATTGGAGGGTTTGATGAGAGAGTGCACAGGAGATAGTTACTTCGCACAGGGCTCAGTATACAGGAGGCACTCGGCACGTTCTCTTCTATTCCCAGGATGCCTGAGCAAGTCGATGAATGTGTGTGTGAGGGGGAGTGCCGTGGCCCACTAGGCTGTGTGCCAGACACTGGGTACAGAGATGGTTTAGACCCAGTGCCCGCCTTTGAGGACCTCACTGGTTTATGGGTGAGACACACATCTGCAGTAATTCGTAGCAAGAGACAGAATGTGGGAGAAGGTTGGATTTGAGGGAAAAGAGGTGACATCTCTGTTACAGGATCAGAAAGACGTGACCAGTAAAATGTCTCTCCATAGAAGTGGAAGCAGTAAGTGCGACAGATGGGAGCGGGGAGGCACACAAGGGTGACTGAGGTAGAGGGACCAGCATGGCTTAAGGCAGGGAGGCAGAGATTCGTGGGGAAAAAGGTGGTTGGATGTAGGTGGGTATTTGAGTCGTTCAGCTTTTTCAGCAGTGAATGTCTTCACCCTGCTCTCGGACTCCTGTGCCAGCTTTCTCTAGAGAGCGGCCTCCAGAAACGGACATCTGCTTGAGCTCTTGTTTTCAGGAATGGCTTTGACCTGTCTTTAGAATAGGCAGGGGTCTGGGTTCCAGAGAGGAGGCAAGGAGGGCAGTTGGCAGGAGCATGCTATAGTTCAGAGGTTCTGGAAAAGCAACGGCAGATGAGGTTACTGAGGCAGTGGGAAGACTGAGGAAGGTATTAATCAGGGGCAATAACACGGTAAGATTTGTGTTTTAGGACGAAGACTAGCTGCAGTGGTGGGGGACAGATGGAGGCAGCAGGGCCGCTGGGGAGACTGCTGAATGGTCCAGGTGGGAGGTGGTAAGGATTTCTTGGTAACTGCATGTGATGAGGGTGGTGGGCAGGACAGAACTGAGGTGCTGGCTAAGGAAACCCTATGAATGGTGGAGGGGAGGGTTAAGGCTGGTTTGGGCCAGGGTGCGTTTAAGATGCCTGTGGAACTTCCAGGACAATCTTGATCCTTGAATGTCTGAACCAGGCCAGAGGGCATACAGGCTAAGAGCTTGGGCTTTTCCTCAGACAGTCTTGGGTGGAAATCCTGGCTCTGACACTTTCTGGCTGTGTAACCTAGGGCCTCCCTGGGCTTCCACTGCCTTGTCTATAAAATGGGGCCATTATTGTACTGTCATTCTATGTTGTTGGGTGCTGTCAAGTCGGTTCCAACTCGTAGTGATCCCATGTGCAACAGAACATAACACTGTCTAGTCCTGTGCCATCCTCACAATCGTTGCTATGTTTGAGTCCATTGCTGCAGTCACTGGGTCAGCCCATCTCATTGAGGGTCTTCCTCTTTTTCACTGATCCTCTACTTTAGCAAATACGATGTCCTTCTCCAGGGACTGGTCCCTCCTGATAACATGTCCAAAGTACATGAGACTAAGTCTCACCATCCTTGCTTCTGAGGAGCATTCTGGCTGTACTTCTTCCAAGACAGATTTGTTTGTTCTTCTGGCAGTCCATGGTATATTCAGTATTCTTTGCCAACACCATAATTCAGAGGCATCGATTCTTCTTCCTTATTCATTGTCCAGCTTTGGCATGCATATGAGGTGATTGAAAACACCATGGCTTGGGTCAGGTGCACCTTAGTCATCGAGGTGACATCTTTGCTTTTTAACATTTCAAAGAGGTCTTTTGCAGCAGATCTGCACCATGCAATACGTCGTATGATTTCTTGACTGCTGTTTCCATGGGCATAGATTGTGGATCCAAGTAAACTGAACTCCTTGACAACTTCAGTATTTTCTCCGTTTATCATGTTGTTGCTTATTGTGAGGATTTTTATTTTCTTTATGTTGAAGTATAATCCATATTGAAGGAAATAACTAGTAATGCATGCAAAGCACTTGGTGAACACCAGCTGTGCCCTGTTCACCAGAGCGACGAGTTGACTTGCCCAGGGGACCTGTGTACTCAGTGGCTTAAACAACAAACATTTATTATTACACAGTTTCTGTGGGTCAGGAATTCAGGAGTGACTTAGCTGGGTGGTTCTGGCTCCGAGTCTCTCCTGCAGTTGCAGCTGGGCTGCAGCCATTTGAAAGCTTGACTAAGGTTGGAGGTTTTGCTTCCAAGCTCACTCATGGGGCTGTTGGAGGAGGCCTCAGTTCCTGTGAACCTCTCCATAGAGCTACTTGTGCATCCTCACAACATGGCAGCTGTGTTCCCCTCAAGTGAGTGATCCAAGATGAGGAACAAGGAGGAAGCTCAATTGCCTCTTATGACCTGGTCTCGGGAGTCACTTCCACCACATTCTGTTCATTAGAAGCAAGTCACTGAGTCTGATCCACATCTGAAGGGAGAAGAATTGGACCCCATCTTTTGAAGGGAGAACTATTAAAAAATTTACAGGTATATTTTAAAACCACCACAGGCCCCCGGTGAGGTAGCAGTGAAGCTGAGACTTGAACTTGGGGCTTCTGCTTTCTAGTTGAGCATTCTGTCTTGTGACGTAGGGTTGGGGCCCCCAGGCTGTATCCCTTAGGACCTCCCCCTCACACACTTAGGCATCCTGGTAGAGGAACTGAGGCAGGGGGCAGCCCAGTGGCACCAAGCCCTCAACCAGGTCTCCTGTGGCCTCACTCTCCTGGTTACTGGGCATCTTTCTTCCATTGTTTTTGCTGTAGGTGAAGCGGAGGCTGGACCTGGAAACTGACCATCAGTACCTGGCTGAGAGCAGTGGGCCAGGCCGGGGCAGGGGCCGCCACCCAGGGAAAGGTACCCACTGAGCTCAGGCTGAGGCAGGCCCTTGTGGCCAGGCCCAGGTTGGGGGCATGGACAGACAAACATGGTTGTAGACTCAGCTCTGGTCTGCCGGGCCTGGGCCTGAGCCAGGCCTCTGGGGGCCCAGAGGGGCAGCTGAAGTGAACGCCTGGCATGGCTTCCCCAGGCCCTGGGGGGTGGGGAGCGCCCAAGCCCAGAGAGGAATGCTGTGGTTGGCAGCAGCCACAGGGCCTCCCTGCTTGGCCTTGCCAAGGGGAAGGAGCCGTCTGCCCCACATCATCCTCCTGCTCTGCGTTGCCAGGGATGCAGCCTGGCGGGGGGCCGGGGTGAGTGCTGAGGGACCCTGACTTTCCTGACTCCCCCAGGTGTGAAATCTCCGGGGGAGAAGTCACGCTATGAGACATCACTGAATCTGACCACCAAACGCTTCCTGGACCTGCTGAGCCGCTCATCTGATGGCGTTGTTGACCTGAACTGGGCAGCCGAGGAGCTGAAGGTTCAGAAACGGCGCATCTACGATATCACCAATGTCCTTGAGGGCATCCAGCTCATCGCCAAGAAGTCCAAGAACCACATCCAGTGGCTGTAGGTAGCAGCTGAACAGGAGAGTGGGCAGAGGCTCGGGGCTGGGTAGACACATGCCATCTGGTTAAATCTCTAGCTCAATGTACTTTTACATTTTTGTGCACTTTGGTAACCACCATCTGGATCAAGATAAGGAATATTTCCTGTACCCTAAAACATGCCCCATGCCCTTTCTCGGTCATTGCCCACCCCCATAACACCAGTAGCCACTCATGGCTTCTATTGCCATCACTGAGCTTTGTCTGGCACAGCTTTTTTGTTCTTGTCAATTCTTGTTTTATTTTTCTCCCCCTACCCCTGTCCTCAGTCATCCCACTACTCTCTGACACATCTGCCTTTTCACTTTTTGGAAGGTCATTCATTCTGCATCATTTTTTTCACTTGGCAGCATGTTTTGGAGATGCTTCTGTGTCTGTACATCTAATGCAGCCTCGTCCTTTTTTTACATCTGTGTAGTATTCCATGGCATCTGTGTCCTCATTTACTTATATAGTGCCCTATGGGCGACAAGTGAGTGTTTCCAGATGTTCGGGCCAGGATTTAAACCCGGGCCGGTCTGATTTGGAGCCTGAGTTCAGCCCTCTTCTGCATCCCATCTGAGGAGCCAGACCCAGAGGGTGGCGAGGGTTTGCCTAGGGCTCATGGAACAGGTGGCGGCAGCAACAGATTCAGTCCTGAGGTCCAGGGCTCCAGGCAGAGGGGTCAGGAGCTGCTAACCCTCCCTGTGGGCTCCCTGCAGGGGCAGCCACACAGCGGTGGGAATCGGTGGGCGACTTGAAGGACTGACCCAGGACCTCCGGCACCTACAAGAGAGCGAGCGGCAGCTGGACCACCTGATCCACGTTTGTACCACACAGCTGCAGCTGCTCTCTGAGGATGCTGACAGCCAGCGATATCCTTGGGCCGGAGGGCACAGGGGGCAGTATTGGCAGGTGGGGGCCTGGCCCAAATGGGCCTAGAGTGGCCGCCCTGGGCCTGGATTCAATAGAGGGCTCTGGCTTTGGATCCAAGTCCTGGCTCAGCCATTTAATCACTGTGTAACACTAGGATGAGTTACTTTGCCTCTCTGGGCCTCAGCTTTATCTGTAAAAGGGGGATAATAGTATTCAATTCTGAAAAGATTAGGATTAAAACAAGATAAGCTAATACCAGCATTGGTTGTTGTTAGTTGCCTTCGAGTTGTTTCCGACTCATGGTGACCCCACACGTGCAGAGTAGAACTGTTCCATAGGGTTTTTTCAAGGCTGTGACCTTCTGGAAGCAGATCACCAGGCCTGTCTTCCCAGGTGCCCCTGGGTGGGTTTAAACCACCAAGTTTTGAGTTAGTAGTCCAGCGCTTAACCATTTGCACCACCCAGGGAGACCTATAGTATCAGCAGTACCGAACGTTTAGTACACTGACTCAATGCATGGTTGTAGCTTCAAGTTTAGAGACATTAGTTTTTGTTTTTTATTCACAAAAATAAAAACTGTTAGAATAGGCTTATTTTTTTTTTAGTTGATACTCCAATTGTGTTTATAAATTTTAGATACAACTGCCAATTGACACTAAGATCACAGGTCAAAATGAATTCCCAACACCAGACCTGGAGATGGTTAACTGTTTACATGGAATTAGTGCAGGCAGCTATCATCCCCCCACCTTGCGATTAGAAGGGTAGGATGGTCCCCATTGTACAGATGTGGACATTGAGACTCAGGGCATAAGGTAGGTTTCGAGCATCAACTATGTGCCAGGCCCTGGGGTAGGGGAGGCACAGGGGTGACTAGGCAGATGTGGGCCCTGCCTTGTGAGCTGTCTGGGTGGGTGGCCCCCAGAGGTCAGAGGTCATATCCTTGACTCCACCAACCCTGGCCTACGTGACCTGCCAGGACCTACGCAGCATTGCAGACCCTGCAGAGCAGATGGTTGTGGTGATCAAGGCCCCTCCCGAGACCCAACTTCAAGCTGTGGACTCCTCGGAGGTGAGTCTGGCATACTCCAGGTCTGACCGGGACAGGCTGGGCTGGGCTGGCGGTCAGCTGAGCCTCAGTTTACCCTGCCTGCTTCCTTCCACCTAGACCTTTCAGATCTACCTTAAGAGCAAACAAGGCCCCATTGATGTTTTCCTGTGTCCTGAGGAAAGCTCGGGTGGGATCAGCCCTGGAAAGACCCCAAGCCAGGCAGCGGCTTCTCCTGGGGAGGAGGACAAGGTGGCAGTCCCTGTCACCACAGTACCACCACCACCATCACCTCCATCATCTCCTGCCACAGATCCCGGCCAGTCCCTGCTCAGCCTGGAGCAAGGTGGGTGAAGGGCCCCTTTCCTGGGTGAGTAGTTGGGCAGGCAAGATACCCCCCTCTGTCCTCCCTTCTGGGGTGTCCCTGGCCTGTGATGCTCCCCCCATCTCCCCAGAACCGCTGCTGTCCCGGATGGGCGGCCTGCGGGCCCCTGTGGATGAGGACCGCCTGTCCCCGCTGGTGGCGGCCGACTCACTCCTGGAGCATGTGCGGGAGGACTTCTCTGGCCTCCTCCCTGAGGAGTTCATCAGCCTGTCCCCTCCCCATGAGGCCCTCGACTACCACTTTGGCCTTGAGGGCGAGGGCATCAGAGACCTGTTCGACTGTGACTTTGGGGACCTCACCCCCTTGGATTTCTGACGGGGCTTGGGGGGCCAGTGCCTCCCAAGATGCCCACTCTGTCTCTGCAGCCCTGGAGCCCCTGCCCCTGGCCGTCCTCCCAGTCCAATTGGAAACGTTTAATTTATATTACCTTCCCCATCTCCAGAAGCTTCTAGCTCTGGAGTCTGGCTACTGCCAAGAGGCTGAGCAAGCCAGGAGGAGAAGGATCCTGTGTTTGTGGTGTGTACGTGCATGCACCCAACACCCAACACGTGTGTACACGGGTGAGTGTGGTGTGCACCTCTGGCAGAAATGCCAGGTAAGCACGTTTACATGAGAGCATGTATGAGCGTGTGTGCATGTACCGGGGAATGAAGGTGAACACATTGGTGCGTGCACTGAAAACACGCCCCAGTGTGTCCATGTGTGTGTGCATGAGTTCATGTGTGCGCATGGTGGGGGCTGTAACTGCACTTTCGGTCTCCTTGCTCCAGGGCCCCACGAGGCCCAGGGTGGCCGCTTGCCCCCAGAAGCCTGCATGCTGACCAGGCCAGGCGGGGAAGCCTCGGCCGGCGTGGTTTGCAGGACAGCAAGAGCACTTCTGTCGTCTTAAAGGTTTTTCTGACTCGAAGCTTTAATGGAGCATTATTTATTTATCGAGGCCTCTTTGGCAAGCCTGGGGCACCAGCAAAGGGTAGGAGGGATGTGGGGCCAGTGCCCCAACTCCCCATACCCCTCCCTGAGTGAGAACGGGGGTCCCTGAGCTGTTCTTTTGCCCCACCCCGAAGGAGCTGAGGCCTGAGCGATTTATTTATTGGGAAAGTGAGGGAGGGAGGGAGACTGACTGACTGACAGCCGTGGGTGGATGGAGGGGTGGCCCCTCCCCAGGGGGGTCACTGCAGGGCCCAGCTGCCCCCCAGGATGGATGGGAGAGGTGAGTGGGGGACCTTCACTGACAGGGTGGGCTAGAGGGGTGGGTAGAGGGCCTCCTCCAGACCGCAGGGGCCCCTTCTGTGGCGTTTGAAGTGCCCCTTCCCCACTTCTTGCTGTGCCCCACCCCCCCAATCTGCACTTTGATTTGCCTTCCTAACAGCTCTGTTCCCTCCTGCTTTGGTTTTAATAAATATTTTGATGGTGTTTGGGTTGGATTTTGCGACTGTGTACTGGGAGCACATCAGGGTGGGAGAGGCCAAGGCTGCTGGAAAAATGCCCCTTTTCCACTTCCCTTCTCCCTATCCTTGCCTGATTTTATTTCATTTGTGCCTGTTTGCTTCAAGGAGGATAAACTTCATCATCATTTTTGTCCTAACTTAAAAACGAATCCAGCAAATATTTTTTGCTGTAGAAAGTCATGAATGCTCCAGAAGCACAGAAAGTAATTAGTGAACTCCCTCCCTCCCTTCCCCCAGTCCCTGAGAGGCCGCTCTGATCAACTTGCTGTGTTCCTTATGTGTTTCTGGGCATTTGTGAATGTGCAGCAACTATTTACAGTGGGCTCATTCTGTGTCAGGGACTTTCAGGTTCTGGGGGCATGTGTGTAACCTTCCCTTATGGAGCTCTCGAGGTCTGATGGAGGAGAGTCATGAGAAAATCAGGGAGGGATCCCTGGAAGAGGTGTTGCTTAAGCCAAGAGCTGTAGGATAAGTTAGGAGTTAACTAGAAGAGGAAAGCAGGAAGAGCAGTACAAAGACCCTGGGGCAGCAGGGAGCAGGGCACTGAGGACCTGAGAGAAGCCTGTGTGGCTGGAGCCCCAGGTTTGGGGGCAGGATGAGGCTGGAGAGTGGAGAGAGATTTTGTCTTGGGCCTTATTCAGGGGTAAAGAGGCTGCTGTGTGGAGGATGGATTGAAGAGAGGCTAGAATGGCAGAGGGGAGGGGGGAAGGAGACCTGGGGGGGGAAGGGAGAGGAGGGTGACTGGGAGTCCTGTCCACATGTACCTGATTAACAAACTCTTAGGTGGGCTTTCTCATAGCTGGTTCCTGTTTCAAGTCCTTTACACTCAATGCAGAAGCCCCTGGGTGGCTCAAACGTTAAGCGCTCAACTAATAGTGGAAAGGTTGGCAATTCAAACCCATTGGAAGACAGCGCTGGTGATGTGCTTTCAAAAGGTCACAGCTTTGAAAACTTTACAGAGCAGTTCTGCTCTGCACACGTGGGGTCGCCATGAGTCTACTGAATGGCAACTAACAACAACAACAACGCACACTTGTGTCCCCGCAGCTATCCTATGAGGTGGCTGCTCTTACTCCATTTTGCAGATGAGGACACCGATCACTTGTGGGTTTTACCCAAAAGGTGTCACTTTGTATTGTGCTTGTTTACTCACTCTTTAATGGTCTGGGAAACTGTCCCTGGGTGGGAAGGCGCAGGCCCATTCTGCTCCTGGCTGTGGCCTACACCCAAGCTGACCCGCGGTTGGCTCCTAACTCCACGGTGGCCACCCCGCCTCGAGGCTCCAGTGGCGGAAGTGAGAGCATAACGGTTTCGGAGTTTTAAGTTGTGCAGCTCTTGCTCACACAAAGGCTGGACAAGGAAACGGAGGCCCGGAACACGGGATCTCAGAAAGCCTTGGTCTCGGGGCTGGAGACCCTGGCCCCCGGTGTCCCGCCCCGCGGGGAGGGACCCTCCTTGGCCAGTTCGGGCGGTGGGCGGAGTCGCGGGGGCGGGGCCCGCGGCATCCGCGCCGGCGCCAATGGGCGGGGCCCCAGCCCTCCGTCAGTCCGCGGGGCTGCGTCCAGAAGCTGGAGCCGCAGCCGAGCCGGAGCGGAGCAGGTGGCAGAGTCATGGCGTGCGCGGGGCTGCTCACTGTGTGCCTGCTCCGGCCGCCCGCGCCTGAACGCCCGCGGCACCCCACGGCCGCGCCCGCGCCCGCGCCCGACGCCGGGCCCGCCGGACACGCGCTGTTCCAGGACGTGAGTGGGGAGCGGGCGCGGGCTCTCTGGCCCAGGGTTCTCTCTCGCGCGCGGTGTCTCTCCAGGTCTCTGTGTCCCTGTGTCTCACTGAGGCTCTGTCTCTCACTGTCTTTCCCTGTCCCTGTCTACGCGTCTCTCTTTCTGTTACTGTTTTTCCTGTCTCTGTGACTATGTCAGTGTCTCTCCCTCCAGGTCTCTCTGGGTCTCTATCTCTCACTTTCTCTGTCTGACGCTGCTGCGCCTGTTTCCTTATGTCTGCAGTATCTCTGTCTCGCTTCCTTTGTGTCCCCTGTTCTCTGTCTGTCACCCTATCTCTCGTCTGTGGTCACTGCCCCTGCTGCCCGCCCCCCCACCTCATCTGTGTGTCCAGTGGAGGTGGGGACTATCAACACTTGGTCACAGGAGCTGTCCCAGGCCACTCTGTGGCAGCCCCATGCTGGGCTGTGCTGGGGCAGGGGAGCCTGGGAGCATAAGCAGCCTCCCCGCCTGGTACTGACCCCCGAATCCCTAAGGCCTGACCCAGGGGCTGTGGGTCCCACAGATGGTCAGGGCTGCCCACAGCCATCCTCTGTGGTCTGGGTATGGGGTGGTGGTGACCCTGCAACCCCCCTGGGCTGCGGCATGCAGCAGCGTGGCTGGGCCTCAATCAGTGCCCTGAGCACCTTCCTGCCCTTCAGCCTCACTCTCAACCCCGTCCTGGCTCCCTCACACCCCCAGTTTCAGAGGTTCCTGCCCCTTCCCACTGCCCCCAGTGACTCAGCACCTTGACCACAGACCTCGTGGCTGAAAGGGACCTGATCTTCCTGCTTCCCAGATGTGGAAACCAAGGCCCGAGGGGCTAGGGACATGTCTGAGGTCACACATGGAGGCAGGGGCACTCTAGGGTGTGACCTTAGGTACCCTCATTCCTAACTTTGCACTCTTCTCCCCAGTATCTCCATATACTCCAGCCAGGCCACACTGGGCTGCTGTGTGACCCTGAGCCAATGGCAGACCTCTGAGCCAGGCATTCGGCTAGGGATTAGATTCATCCCTGAATCTCACTGTCCCTGAGAAAGTACCTGAAGGAGAGTGGCATTCAGGACCGGAAGCCTGATGAGAGTTCTCTGTCCAGACTTCAGCCTACCCTCCTTGCTGTGGTCTGCTGGTCGCCCCTTTGCCAGGCTACTTTGGGAGTCTCTGGTCCCTGGGAGAGGCAGGGACTGTTTTGACGCTGCTCTTCAGTCTTTGTCTCTCTGCCTCTGTTGCCCTTCATCTCTGCTTCTCCATAAATACTGTACAATCTGTCCGCCCCTGCCTTTGCCGCCCTCACTCCTCCTCAAACATACATGCCTGCCCAAGGCCCTCCCACTGAGTTGGCCCAGCCCTGGAAGGGTTAACCCTTGGGAAAACTGAGGCAATAGCAAAGAAAGGACTAATCACTGCCCAGCAGGTCAGGGTCTTCAACAAGCATCCAGGGAAACAGCCCAGAGAGGGCAGGGTCTGGGGTATGCCAAGGCCACATAGCAGAGTTAGGGGTTCAGGTCTGGGATGGCTGCCTAGGATCGTTGGTCCGCATCTTGGCCCATCTCCCCAACCTTCCTCAGGCTGGGACTGTGCCAGGGGCTGATGCATCAGACTTCGGGCCGACTCTGGATGTGGGAGGCGGGGTGCAGGGAGCCAGCCTGGAGCACCCCCCATGAGGCCACACTCTGAAGGAGAAGTGAGCAAGCAGTGGGACCTGCTGTGTGCTCTTCCTGCGCCTCCTCTTGCTGGAAAAGCTCCTGCAGGGCCGAGCTGGGTGGGGGGTGGGGGGTGTCGGGACCAGGGTGGGCAGGAGGAAAGACAAGGCAGGGGGTAGGCAGGCCAGCTGTGGCCTGTTGGGTTCGGTTGGGCCTCTCACCTCCCAGGCCCCACTCACAGCCTCTACCCACACCTCTTTGTTCTCTAGGTTTTCCGAAGAGCAGACAAGAATGGTGAGTGTGGCTTCCTCTGGGTCCCCACAGTAGGGGGTAGAGTGGCGACATCAGGGAGGCCCAAAGGAAGGTTGGGGGATTAGTAGGCACTATCTAGAGTGGAGACAAATCTTGAGGAGGCCTGAATCAGGAGAATCACTCAAGGCATCCTTCCCAGAGGATGTGCTGTGTTGAGCCAAGTTTGGAGGATAGAGGGGGCAGGAAATGTGGTTTGTCCAGTACCGGGGTTGAGGGGAGGGAAGAGGGGGGCAGCTCTCGGAGTGTACTGGACAGCAGTAGGTACTTCCTGTTCATGAGCTCATGTTGTCACTACCACCAGCTAGGCCCAGAGAGGTGAAGCAGTTGCCGGAGGTCACACAGCCCTCAAACCCAAGTCTGTGTGACCCAGGCTCCCTGTGTGAGAGGCTTTGAGGGTTAGGGTAAAGAAGACGAGGCCCTGAGGCAGATTGTACTCTTAGATTTTTTTAGAGGGCTTGGTAACTTTCCTTATGAACTAACCATCTGGACCCATGGAGGGCTCGGATGATACAATTAAACCCAATCCTTGGGCAGGATAAAGCTGAATCCAGTGTCCAGGGAGTCAGCCCCACCTTCCCTAGGTCCTCGGCAACCTTACACCCTGGTCTGGAAAAGCCTTGGAAGCTAAAGCAGGAACCCTAAGGGAGCCCAGCAGGCAACAGGTTGCTGCCCACAGACGACTGGGAGCCACGCACTGTGCCCTGATTGGCCAGATGAGTCTGAGCTGAGACAGCCAGTCAGCCTTGAGCTCACTCACATCTGGGGTCTTCACACCCTTTTGTGCTTCAGCCTCCCTGAGACAGGATCATGTCCCCTACCCCTTGCCCTTTCTCCTCGAGTCTCTTCAAGTTGGTGGAGATTGTATCTGTTCCAACCCACGTGGTCTCACTGGAATCAGGACATTCTATCTCGTGAGGCTCAGACCCTCCACCAGCTCTTCCTCCCACCGTCTGCTTAGCAACCTTATATGTCATTCAGGCCAAATCCCCAATATCTTTGACCATCCCACTTGTCTCAGTTATCTAGGGCTGCTATAACAGAAATACCACAAGTGGATGGCTTTAACAAACAAAAATTTATTTTCTCACTGTTTAGGAGGCTAGAAGTCCAAATTCAGGGTGCCAGCTCTAGGGGAAGGCTTTCTGTCTCTGTCAGCTCTGGAGGACGGTCCTTGTCTCTTCAGCTTGTTTCCTGGTTCCTCAGAGATCTCCATGTGGCTTGGCATCTCTCTTAACCCATCTCTACTAGCTCCCTTGCTTATTTAATCTCTTTTATATCTCAAGAGAGATTGACTCAAGACACACCCTACACTAATGCTGCCTGATTAACGTAATGAAAAAAACCCATTCTCAATTGGAATTATAACCACAGGCATAGAGGTTAGGATTTACAACACATATTTCTGGGGAACATGATTCAATCCCCTCAATCCACTGAAGTGTGCTCAGCCTCTGCTTGCATGCCCCCTGTGATAGGGAGCCCATTCCCTCCTGAGCCAGTCTGCTGTCTCTTACAAAGCCTCCACTATTAGGAAGATTTCACCTTCACCCTGTGAAGGTCCTGGGTCCTCCCAGAGCACGGAGGTTCCTCCACCCTGGAGAGAGGCTGGCCAGCATGTGGGCTAGTGACTCGGCCCCAAGCCTTCCCAATGATGTCTAGGCCCTGTGTGCTTTGGCTGTGTCCCAGGCTGTTCATTCATTTCTTCATTTGGCAAATATTGAGTTCCTACTCAATGACAGGTCCATACTGCCCTGTCCCTTGGGTGAGCCCTGCTGCCTTCATTGGGTACCTCTGGGCCCTAGATTTTTTGTCCGCAATAGCCAGGTCCCCATGGAGGTCAGAATCCCATTCTACCTGGTTGAGTAGTTGTGAGATGCCACAAGGCCTTTGGGGGGCCTGGACCTGGTGGCAGGGGTGCAGCCAGGGACCAGGACTACTGACTGCGCTCCTTGTCTCCCTCCCACCCCAGATGACGGTAAGCTCTCATTTGAGGAATTCCAGAATTACTTTGCTGATGGTGTTCTCAGCCCAGGGGAGCTGCGGGAACTGTTCAGCGGCATTGACGGGCATCCCACTGAGTGAGTGTGAGAGGGGGGGACGGCTGAGCTGTGGATGGATGTGAGGCCAGGTTGTCCCAACCCCACTGTGTCCCCTGCTGCCTTGGTTCCTTGTCGAGGACAGGAGGGGACTGGTGGGGGCAAGGAAAGGGGTGCCAGGGCTCAGTGCCAGATTAACCCTCCTGCCCACCCCCTACCCATCTCCAGACTTGCCCACCACACTGCTTCCAGCTGGGACCCCAAAATAGCCATGCCTGAGTCACCACCCATGGCTCAGCCCCAGGCACCCCCCTTTCCCTCTTCCTGCGGGGACCAGAGGATGCCTGGGAACAGCTAGGGCTCCGCCTGCTTCCACCCATGGATGCAGGTGCGTGAACACGTGCACAGCTCCCCATGGTTGCTCCCACGTCTACGTACCTCGTCACGGGTGTGCATACCCTCCCATGCTTCCTCCCATGGGTGCACGGGCAGACAGCTGCCCTTCCCCACTACCTCCCTTCTCCACCTGCTCAGGGTAAATTCTAGGCTCTTTTGGTCAGCATTCAAGGCTCCTGTGCCCTTCCCTTTTCTGAAACTTGGGCCAGACCCTTTGTCTGCAGTGTTCTCCCAATCCTGACCAGAGACTCAAGTCAAATTCCTCATCCTTCAAGGCCTTGCTTAGGCAACTCGTCCTCTAGGAAGCCCTCCCTGACCTACCAAGTAACACCCCAGTAATGCTTCCCTGGACTTTCCCAGGCCTGGCATCTCCTTTGCAGCCCTGACCACTTCCTCTCTGGCCTTTGTCTACATCTGACCCCCCGCTGGCCTGGGGTTCCCTTGGGGGCCGGAAGTGAGTCTGAGTCTTTGCCCTCAGAGAATGTTTGATGGGGCCAGTAGTTCCCTCACTCCTCACTCCCACGGCCCAAGGCCCCCTGCCCATTGAGCAGCTTAACCTGAGTGGAGGCAAAAGTTGCCTCCTTGTTGGGGTGGCCAGCTCACTGGGCCCAAGCCTAAGTGTCTGAAGGGCACCTTCTCTTTTCCTTACAGCAACTTGGAAACAGAGAAACTGTGTGGTGAGTAGGTCCACAGGAGCTCTCATCTCCTGGGACCCCTGGGTGTGGGGGTGCTATGGCTGGTCTCCTAATGGGACAGGATGGGCTGGGCTCAGGATATGGGGCCTGCTTGGCTGCTGAGGCCAGGGATTCCAGGCAGCCAAAATTGGGGCAAGTTGGGTGGATGGGTGGGGTGGGGTGGGGTCCGGGAACCCTTGAGCACCCCCTCCGCCCACAGACTACTTCTCAGAACACCTGGGTGTCTACCGGCCTGTGCTGGCTGCGCTGGAGTCACTGAACCATGCAGTGCTCACTGCCATGGACACCACCAAACTGGTGAGTGGAGGGGTGGATGGTAGGAGACCCAAAGTGAGGGCAAGGGTGTCTGCCGTGCTGTGGGGGCCTCCACCATGGTGGCTCAGTGCTGTGGAGCTAGAGGCCTGAGTTCAAATCCTGATTCCCCTGGCTATGCAGCCTTACCTCTCTGGGCCTCAGTTTCCTCATCTGTAAACTGGGAATAATAATAGAATCTACTTCCATACATTTGTTGTGACAATTAAATGAGAATGAAGGCAGGGATTTTTGTCTGTTTTGTTCTCTGCTCTTTTCCCAGCACCCAGAACTGTGCCTGGCACGCAGTAGGCACTTAATACCTGGAGCTGCTGTTGCTATTTTTATTCTTGGCCAGATCTAACTGTTGCAGGCTGTTAGCCAAGCACCCAGCAGGGATGGGCTGAGGTGGAGGGCCCGTGCTCACACATGTCCATAGGTCCGTGCTGGTGCCTGGAGCCTAGTGGGAGGGGCCTGGCCTGAGGATATACATGAGTAGGCAGGCACATTGCATCTGCATGTTTGTGGACACACGTGGACAGGTGTGTGCACAAGGGCTCCAGGCCCCTGGGCTGTGACTTCAGAAAACCACATGCTGCCCCTCCCTTTGTGTGTTCCTTTTAAGAAATGTCTCCACCTCCCTTTGTCCCGTAGCTCTTATAAGGGGGTGTGAGGGAGCAATGGGCAGGACTGGGATTGTGCCTGACTCTACATTTTAGAGAGGGGGAAACTGAGGACCCCAGAGAGTCGACATCACCTGAGCGCACAGCTGGGGACAGGGCTGCCCCTTCTGGTTGCTTTCACAGGGGATGTAGTGGCTTTTCAAAGGGTCACCCCTTGGGGCTTCGCATGGGGTGGAAGTCCAAATGGTACATGAGGAGGGGATTGGCATGTTGCAGGGACTTCCATATCTGTGGCCGGGGCACAAGTAGGGGCATTGCCTTCCTTGTTGCCATGGAAACAGCCTTGGACTGGCATTCTCTAAACTGGCATTAGTTAGGATTCAAACTGCAGATCAAAGCTGAGGATCCCAGAGGCCCTGCATACCTCCCCCTGAACCAGAGAGGGGAGAGGGTGGCCCATCACCACACCATGACTGCCAGCTCCAAACTCTTCAGACTCTTTATTTATCTGGCACTGGATGCCTCTGACAGAGCTGCAGCTCTGCCTCAGCAGTGCCTTCTCGGGGCTCCACCCCATGCAGTGGAACATGACTCAGTTGAACACTTCGTGCACTAGCCTGGAGCCATACTCCTGGTACATGGTCCGGGTCATCCAGCGGCGCTGGAAGGAGCTCAGCGAGGCCACCATGGAACCACCTGTCCACACGGCTGTTCCGCGCCCAGGCATGGCCACCAGGCGCGGCCGAAGGGCCCCATAGCCGTGTCGCCGGCACTGGGCCTCCAGCTCCATGTCCAGGCGCTCAGTGAAGCCAGGGAAAAGTGTGGAGCCACCTGCCAGCACTACGGTGTCAGCCAGCCATTTCCGCAGTGTTGCAGGCATCTTCTGCAGTGCCCGGAAGGCGAGTGCAGGCAGTCCCGGCTTAGTCTGGCCTAGCAGACTCGGCTGGAAGATGGGCTCGGGGCAGCGGAAGCGCTCGCTGCTGAGGTGGATTGAACAGCCGTTGCCTATGAAGAAGCTGGCTGGCTGGTGGCGGGCAGGGTTACGGAGGTCACCCTCGAAGTCCAGCGACACATAGCAGTAGCGCTTCTTGAGCTGTGTGATGGCCTTGCGGGGTAGGGTCTGCAGTCGGAGGTCCGGACACGCTGCTACCAGCAGGTCCCGTAGGTAACGCGACAGCGTGGTGCCTGCCACTTCCAGTCGGAAGGTGGCCTCCTGCCATGAGTGGCCCGCATAGATGGGCGTGGCGTGGCACACGCCCGCACCGGCCTCCACCGCCAGTCCGCTGAGCGCGCCCGTGGAGCAGAGCGCCAACAATGCAGTGCTGGCCATGTGGCACGCGGGCACTGCCAAGGTCTCGAACAGCAACTCGGCCACCCTCTCGCGGCCCCCGGGAGGCGCCGACGGCGAGTCGCTCACCAGCACGGGCCACTGCTCTGGGCACACCCGCAGGCCACCCACCAGCAAACGCTCCCACAGCCCCTCCAGCGCCTCCCAGTCCACTACCACGCCGTGCTTGATGGGGTGCGCCCGCGCCACGCCGCCCGCCAGCTCGCAGCCCGGCGCGCCAGGTAGCACGGGCCGGTCCCAGCTAGGCACCAGGCTGGAGCTCTTCAGCATCACGCGCGGCTGGTGCTCCCCCGCGAAACCCGCCTTGGTGAAGCCCGAGCCCTGGTCCACCACCACTGCGATGCGGCCCAGCGGGGGCGGCCCGCGGACCCCGCGGCTCCCACCCACGGACGCCACCTTCGGGACCAACCCCGCCCCGCGGCGGAAGGTGCGGCTTCCCAGGGCCTCCGCCCGGCTCCGCCTTCTCTTCGGGCCGTTTGAGAGACTCGGCCCTTTAGGACCTATGCCCCGCCCCCTGGATTGAGGCTCCGCCCCTCCTGCCCCGTGTTTGCCTGAGACTCCGCCTCCGCTGGCTGAGATAAAGGTTCCACCTTTTAGCTCTTGGGTCTGCCCTCCGGGCCTAAATCCCGCCTTTTCTGGGCTGGATAAAGACCATCCCTTTCAGTCTAGACTCTGGCCTCCGATCCTGGGTTCCACCTCTTCCCACTTCTGGCCGGCCGTAGGATCTCCTTTTCAGCACTTGGCTCCGCCCCGAGGCCTGAGGCCCCGCCTCTGGTTGAAGTGTCAGTCGTCGCTTCTGGCCCTCTTTGCCCTTCTCTGGCTGAAGGCTCCTCTTGCTCTGCACCGTGCCACACTCTTTCAGGACTCGCCTCTGCTGTGCCGCTCTGCCCTCTCAGTCTCTGCTGGGGTGGATGATTAGAGGGACAGACAAAATCTTTTTAGATATTGGGAGGCTGCCAGGAGCAGCAGAGCTCTGGGAATGATGGGACTTTGTGGCAATGTCTTCTGCACATGCGTCACACCTTGGAGACCCAGGAGTCTAGCCCAGCCCTTGAGCTCCAGGTGTTCTCCTGGCACCTCTCACCTGGGCTTGGACGAAGTAGTTCTTGGTTGTGGAGGTGGGAGGCATGGCCAGAGAAGGAAGGAAAGAACTTGGATTGGACTCATTGTGACCTCAGGCCTCAGCACCAGCTGTGCTTCCATAGCCCCCTCCCCCATGAAAGCTCCCTGGACCCATCCTCTCTCCTGTCACAGGGCCAAAAGCAGTGATTGTGGCATCCAAGGGTCTGGCCTTAGCTGTCCAGCACACCCAATTCTATTCCTTCCCCAAACCACTTCATGTCATCTGATGTGGTCTGGCCAGATATGCGGCCATCCCCTCTCAATGCTGAAGAGAAACCTTTTGATTGAAGATCTGCAGCCACTCCAAGGAGCTCTGGGTGCTCAGCTCTGAGGGATCCAGGCAGCTCACATAAGGCCTTAACCTCATGGCTTCCATGTGTGGACTCACATGGGCCTGAGTTTGTGACTCATTCCTGAAGCTGACTCACTGTGCAACCCTGAGCAAGTCTTAAACTCTTTCTGAGCCTAGTTTCATCCTCCAACAGGTGGTAATAATCCTTATACACAGGAAAGAGGCCACTTCTTGTTATTCTCTTTAGAATAATTTCAGATGCAAGTAAAAGACCCACTAAGGTGAGCTTAAGCTAAAATAGGGATTTTATTTACAAGGATCTTATAGATACCAAGAGCAAAGGTGAAGTCAGACCTCAGGAACAGACTGGAACCAGGGCCTGACCACAGAGCTGTGGGGAACCCAGGATGTGCACTGTCTCTGCAATTTTTTTTTTTTTTTTTAATTCTTCTGAAGACTGGCTTGAGCCTGTGGATGTTCATATAGCAAACATGGCCTCTTACAACTTCTGAATTACAGTCCCAGAGAAGGAGCTGATTGGATCAGCTTGGGCCAACTATGTATAGCCAGGAGGCATGGCCACAGTGAGGAACATGGTTGCCCTGATTGTAACCATGTGGATGGTAGGGAAGAGTCCATTCTCCCAAAAAGTAGGGGAGATGCTATCCTGGTGCAGACAACCTCTAGCCTGGTGCAGACAATGTGGGGTGGGGGTGATATTGGGACATGTTGACTGTAATGGAAGGGTATTTTCAGCAGAAGCTGGGTCTGTGGCTGTAGTGAGCTGGGACTTTCACCCCTGCTTGTCTGTCCTGAAAGGTGGCTGACTGTCATCCTCAGGCTGGTCGCCAATGTATAATGGGAAAGAGGCTTCAGGTTTGGCAGGGCTAGGGCAGCACTAGGGTCTGGAGCCAGCTTTGGGACCCGGGAGAGTGAGGAGAAGCAGCTGGGTCCTGCCCACAGAAAGCAGGCCAGGCTTCTCGTGGATAATTTAGGAAGGTGAGCCTCGCACTGGAGATCACAACTGGCAATATGGGCAGAGCAGGGGTGAAGGCGGCAGGCAATGAGAAGCCCTAGAGGAGAAGACTGAGGCTGGGAACTGGGTCTCCACATTACAATAATAGGTTTGAGCTTTTTCCTGTGGGCTGTGGGGAGCCAGTGGGAGTTTATGAGCAAGGGAGTGACCTGTCCTGACCAGATAAGTGGTTTGGAAGTCGACTTCAGCTGCAACGTGGGGAAGAGGATAGGATGGGGTAGGTTGGGAGACTAGTGCTGAATTTGACTGAGGTGTTTTGGGGTACCAACAGAGTGGAGTAGGGGTGAGGGATGGGAGCCCAGGGACCCGGGCCTCTCCTCTCGGGTGCTGTCACAGGCAGAGCCTGAGTGTCAGGATCCACCTCAGCTGACGGTAGGACCTTTACAGTTCCTTCCCAGAATGGCGACTGTTTGCCTGGGACCACTCCCTCTGCCTAAAAGTAATTTTGGAATACTTGGAACTCCTGGAAATGGCCAGCCCTTTGCTGGGAGCAGCACCCCTACCAGCATGGCCAGGCCTGGGTGTGCCCAAGCCCACTTCCCCCGGGGCCTGCAAACCCGGAGGGATCTGACCAGGCTCTGGAGAGGGAGACCGGAAACAGCCTCCCTCCACTGTGGCATGAAGAGTTCTCTCCCCATCTCAGGGGAGGGGTTCTGACCCTTGAGTCACAAGGGAGGGAGGAGGTAAAGGCAGTTCTGGCTCCAAACTATGGCTGTTGCTTTGCCTTCAGAATGTCCAGTTCATCCCCGTCTCGCTCTGGGCCTTAGTCCCGCCCTCCGCCCGCCCCCTCCCGACTCGGCGCCCCGACGCCTCAGGCAGAGGTAGCAGGCGTCAGGGTTGCTAAGAGCTCTTTATTGGGCTGGTCGGGGCTGGTGGGCCGGCCGGGCGCTCAAGAACGCCGACGCGGGCAGCGGCGCCGCTTGCGCGGCTGCTCCTCGGCCGCGTCGGCCTCACAGTCAGCCTCGTTCTCCGCCAGCAAGCGCTCGTAGAGCCGCTGCCAATTCTGCACGGCCTTGGCCCCGCCCCCCGCTCCGGGCCCGCCCGCTGCGCGGCGCCCCTCCTCTTGCAGCCGGGCGTCCAGCAGCAGCAGCAAGACCAGGATCTTCTTCATCTCCCGGGCTCGCGCGCCGTCGCGCCGCTCAACGCTGTCGCCCGCTCCTCGCAGCATGGGCGGTGCCGCCGGGCAGCCCCCCGGAGGACCAGTCGCGTCCTCATCCAGCCGCCCGGCCCGGTCACTGGTACCCGCCGCCGCCTCGGCTAGCGGCTGCCGCTTATGCAGGGGTAAAAGCAGCACGATCTTGGTCTGGGGGCGGGGGATGAGGGCATGAGGGAAACGAGTGCCCCCGGGGCCGAGCCCACGACCTGGTACCCGCCCCGACCCCTCCCAGGGTCCATCACCCACCTGGCTTCTAGCTCCCAGGACCCTGGCCCTTCCAGGTGTCAGAGACTCATACCATCATCCTCCCATGTTCCCGGGACCCCACCACTCCAGGCCCTGGAGTAGCACAGCCTCCCCTGCTTGACGCGGGGAACCCGCACCCGTCTTGCCCAGTCGCCCACCCCCACAAACCCTCACCCCCTCCGGCTCTACCTCCTGAGACCCCTCTGTATCCACGTTTATGGGATCCCCGCCTACCTCCCAGCCTTGATGCCAGGGACCCTCACTCACCCTAGCCCAGTGTCAATGACCACTGCCCACTTGAAGAGGGGGAAAGTAGCATGTTTGGGGGCTGGGGGGCGGCTAAGGGAACTCCCCCACCCACAGCCCAAGTCGTACCAACCAGGGCTGGGAGACTCCTCCTCCTGCCCGCTCTTCTGGGCTCCCCAGTATTGTCCTCCTCCTGGTTTCTGGGATCCCTACCTTCCCTTCTGGGCTTCTAGGACCTCCATCCACACTCATATAGACTTCCGGGACCCTCACTCGGTAAGGATCCCCAACCGCTCCCATGGTGCCAGGATTTCTGCCCATAAGGCCTACATCCCCAGCATTCCCTCCTGCCCACCTGTCCAGGTTCCCCTGACTGCCTGCTGTCCACTTGGCACTTACACGAGGCTTCTTCCGCTTGAGGTGGCTGAAGAACTGCTGCTTCCGCCAGGCCTTTTCCATGTCAGGTGGCTTCTCCTTGTGGGCCTGCTTGGGCATTTTTGTCCTCTCGTGGGAACTATTGTTTCCCATGGCAGGGCCAGTCACTACTGAGGGCCACGTCCCATGCTACCTCTGCCCCACCCTCCGGCCAAGGCCCCTTGACTGTGCCCTGCCCTAGGGAGGCAACATTGTGACCTCATGGGCCGACGTCACAAGCACCAGGCTCCAAGCCCCGCCTCCTAGAACCCACAGGTGAATGTCGGCTCCTTTCGCTGTCTGTGACTTCTGGCCTAATGATCATAAATGGGGTGATGCTTGTAAGGTGCTTAGCAGTGAGTAGAGATTTGAGTCCTGGCTCTGCCACTTACTAACTGTATGACCTTGGCCAATGTAATCAACCTCTAGGCACCAATCTTCTCATCTGCAAAATGGGGTCAATTGTGATTGCAGTAAGTCGTTATGAAGAGTAAATGAGATTCTCCTTGGAACAGTGCCTGGCACAGAGTGGGTGCTTGTGTCAGCTAGGTTCTTTGCTTGCAAGCAACGGAAACTGATCAACCATCATAGGTGTCAAAAAAGGTAATTTATTGGAAGGATTTTGAGCTCAGAGCATGGCCAGAAAGTCTGGAGACCAGGCTTGGAGACAGGACAGAAATCACTGGCTTGTTTGGGAACAAGATGACCCAGTCGCCCCTCAGTCGCTGCTTCCCAGCTCACCAGCTTGGCCAAGCTGAAGCAGGTCACAGATAGGAGATGAAGCCACTTGTGGATGGTGCTTCTGGAATCCCCTTGTAGAGAGAGGGACCTAGACTAGGACTCCATCCCTGTGTGTGTGTGTGTGTGTGTGTGTGTGTGTGTGTGTGTGTGTTGGGGGGAGAGGGGAAGGTCATCTCAGGAAATCTGTGACTTTTGGAGGTA